TCTGGACAGTCAAGTGAAAGTCGTGCAAGTGACCGTATCAACGCGAGTAAAGCCCAAGTGAACAACAAGTGCCAGGATATCCGGAATCGAGATCGCCGAGTCGAGAAGCCCAACGAAGCTTACGTCTACATAAGCTGAGACTGCCAAGCTGAGATCCCGAGGGTACAAGGTAAGTTGTAGGGTGCGTCTACGAGTCTCGAAAACGACGTTATTGGTGGAGTCCGAGTAAGTGGATGTTGTGTGAAAGGTACCCAGCGTCGGTTCGCATGAGAGATTGAGAACATGCTGAGGGCCAGCTGACGAAGATCCAGTGGATGTTGTGCGAGAGGTACCCAGCGTCGGTTCGCATGAGAGATTGGGAACCTGCTGAGGGCCAGCCGACCAGAGTCCGAGGGAGTTGTGCGAAAGGTGTCCGGAGTCGGTCCACACGAGAGTGAGGACCTGCCGAGCCGACGAAATCCCGACCGACTTCAGGGTGGAGCGTGGAGTGTTGACTGCAGCAACGCTGTTTAGCGCTGTTTGTGAGAGACTCGTAGCGAGCCTAGTACGCGACCGGTGCCCGAAAGACTCGGCAAGGTGGAGGACGCACGACAGGCGTGCCGCCGTAGAAGTCGACGTGGGAACCACTACTGGCGTCAGCGAGGGCGTTAGATTCATCAGCAATCGGAGCCAGAACCACGAATACTTTATTGTAAATCCACAAGCAATAAACCCAACCCACATATTATAAATCTAACCTAACTCTGCGTTCTTCTTTGGTCTCGGGGTCACGCAACAATAAATTTGGTGGGACGAACACACAAACTCAACTGAGCTAGCCGCACGTTTACGTAGCGAGCGGAGACATAAAATACAGTTCGTTACATCTGGCGCCCAAGCGTGATACTCAGATCAAAGAAACCAGAAAATAGGTTTAGAATGGGGAAGTCCTGGTTATACAACCTTAAAAAGGATTTCCCGGCGATCGCAAGCGCCCTAGGCATCGAGCTAGAGGGCCTTGTAGAGGACATGAGGCGGACACTGGCCGAATTTATGGACCATTCCGAGGATGATCATGATGCGCTGGCAATTCTGGCGGCCCTGGAAAGGGATTACGCCAAGTTCACGTCGGTCGGCCTGAAAGTCACCGGAGCCGAGGGCCTGGTGCGCGGCCTGGACGTAAGCAGCATGCAGAACGCCGGCAGGAGCAGCAGCCGCGACCGACGGGAGAGCAGCAGGGAGAGGAAGAGCGACAACTGCGAAGAACGTGAGGAGAATGGCAGACCCGGATAGGATTATGCCTAGATCGCAAAACAAGTCAGGGAGTGGAGTTTCCGTTACGACGGGAATGAGAAGCCCCTGGAGTTCCTCGAACAAGTGGAGTGGTCGGCCATGACATACGGGTTAGACATCAACCAAATTCCGAGGGCGATGCCGGAACAGCTTCAGGGCAGAGCGCTCAAATGGTTCATCGCCAACAACAGGTTCTGGGAGACCTGGGGCGGATTTAGCCAGAGCTTCCAGAAGTTCTTCTTGCCCAGGGGATTTATGAACAAACTCGCAGATCAGGTCAGGCAGTGGAAACAGAACTACGGCGAAAGCTTCAAGGACTACATGGTAGACATGCAGACATTGATGCGACCCCTGGGCTTGAACAAGGACGACATCCTGGAGCGGATTAAAGAAAACAGCACCCCGACACTGCGGCTGTTTATCCGCCCCTACAGGTGCCAGAACCTGGATACCCTGATAGCATTAGCGGACGAATTTGAGGAGCTCGACCAGCAGAGGAAACGGTTCGAGCAAGAAAATGTCACAAAAGCCCGATACCATGCGCCGGCCACGAGGAGGGAATCAGCAGCCACGTGCAGGCGCTGTCAGGAGGAGCCAGACGAGCGTAACGCACGTCCGGGGTACGTAAATAATCCATCCCAGGCATGCCGGAGATGCGGAAGCCAAGACCACTGGGCGAAAGAATGCCGCAACAGAAGAATCGCATTCTGTTGGAGATGCGGGAAAATAGGCGTGATAAACGGCGAATGCTGCGCACGAGCGGGAAACGCCAAGCGACCTCAGCCACCAAGGGCGGCCAGGGATCGCAAGGTGCTGCCTCTCGAAACTAATGGGCGACTTGAAGGTGGAAGAGATGCAGCTGTCCGCCACAGTGCTCATAAACAAACGAAAAGTGAAGGCCACGGTGGACGCTGGCGCCACGGCAAGCTTTATAAGCGAATAGTTGGCGGACAGGCTGCAGGCCGCCGGTAAGGTCGTACCGACGAGAAGGCAGGTGCGCATGGCAGACGGAAGATGCGGGAGCATCCAATCACAGCTGGAGATAGTGGTTGGTCTCGGGACGAAAAAGGTGTTGATGCCGTTATTTATCCTCCCAAGAGTGATAGACGCCCTAGTATTGGGCTGGGATTTCCTCACAAAAATAGGAGCGGAGGTAAAATGCGCAGGACTCGAGGTGGCGATACCAGCAAGGAAGCGCAGACTAGGAATGCTGGAAGAAAGACTGTCGGTGGCAGTTGTAGAAACACCGGAACAGTTTTCGGAAGAGGACATCGCCAAATTCCTGAAGGAGGAGCTGAAAGCTCTAGAAGAATCAAGCGAAGCATCAAACATAGCCGTCCACAAGATCACGATGAAGGACGACCAGCCAGTGAAGCAGCGGTACTACCCAAAAAAGCCCAAACTGCAGGGGGAAATAAACGAAAAGGAAGACGATCTGCTGGAAAAAGGATGCATCGAGCCGTCAAGAAGCCGGTACAGCACTCCAATCGTCATGGTAAAGAAGAAGACGGGAAAATGGAGGCTGTGTGTAGATTTCCGACAAATCAACGCAAAGTCGGTAAAGAATGCGTACCCGATGCCTATGATCAACTACATCCTGGATCAAATTACGGAGGCACGATACATCAGCAGCCTGGATTTAAAGGATGGATATTGGCAAATACCGCTGGAAGAGAAGAGCAGGCAGTATACCGCGTTCACCGTCCCAGGAAAGGGACTGTTCCAATAGAAGGTGATGCCATTCGGGCTGCACTCAGCGTCGGCAACGTTCCAAAGAGCGCTCGATCAGGTCATAGGGTCTGAGATGATGCCGCACGCCTTTGCGTACCAGGACGATATTATCGTCATCGGACGGACGCTGGAGGAGCATAAAAGAAACCTGAGGGAAGTGTACCGAAGACTGCGAGCAGCGAACCTGAATGTGAATGTGGAGAAGTGCAAGTTCTTCAGGAAGGAGCTGCAGTACTTGGGACATCGCATCACTGACCAAGGAATTGGAACTGATCCGGATAAGGTAGCGGCGATAGCGTTGCTGGAACCCCCAGCCAACGTTAAGGAGCTGAGGCAATACCTGGGAGTGGCATCATGGTACCGACGCTTTGTACCCGACTTCGCCACACTAGTCCAGCCACTTAATGCCCTACTCCGGAAGAAGGTGAAATGGGAGTGGACCGACGACCACCAGAAGGCATTTGAGGCGGTCAAGGCCAGGCTGGTCGCAGACCCAATCCTGGCATGCCCAGACTGCCCTGCAGACAGACGCCAGCGACTACGGGCTTGGCGCCATACTCACGCAGCATTCAGATCAAGGCGAGAGAGTAATCTCGTATTCAAGTCGCTCCCTAAATGGAGCGGAAAGAAATTACTCCGCAACGGAAAAGGAATGCTTGGCGATTGTATGGGCCATAAGAAAGTTGCGACCATACCTGGAGGGATACCACTTCAAGGTAATCACGGATCATATGTCACTGAAGTGGCTCAACAGCATAGAGAGCCCGTCGGGAAGGATTGCGAGATGGGCGCTGGAACTCCAGCAGTATGACTTTGAAATATCCTACCGAAAAGGCCAACTTAATGTCGTGGCGGACGCCCTGTCGAGACAGCCATTGCCGGCGAAATGTCGCCAAATGAAAGCAGCAAAGCCAGGCCCGAAGACTGCGAAACAGGGGCGCGATTGGATAGCGGAGATAAGAAACAAGGTGGCACAGAACTCGCAGAAATACCCGGACTATAGGCTGGAGGGCGAGCAGATGTATCGCCACATACCCCACAGGGCGGGGAACGAGGACGTGGTCGCGTGGAAGCTATGCGTACCCAGAGGATCGAGACAGAGGGTGATAGCGGACGTGGGACGAAAAATGGCCAGAATTACAGCTGGCGGTTAATACCAGTGTGGCGGAGTCCACTCGCCAGCATTCGTCACCCAAGGTCGAGAACCCCGACTTCCGAAGGCGCTATATGATGAACACACGATCGGGACCGGTAAAGCCACGCAAACACCAAGTGAAAACGCACAAAAACTGTCAGAAATTTTTGAACTAGTAAGGCGTAATATGGAAAAGGCGGCGCAGGATCAGGCGCGCTATTACAACCTGCGGAGAAGACCATGGACGCCAAGGATTGGCGATAAGGTCTGGGCCAAGGAGCACCACCTGTCGAAAGCAGTGGTTTCGCGGCGAAGTTGGCCCCCAAATATGACGGGCCATTTGCGATCGTTGATTTTGTTTCCCCAGTAATATGTAACTTGCGGCACTGCCTGAGTGGCAAGGAAAAAAGGTCTCACATTAGTGAGTTAAAACCAGGCACATCTGAGGGGAAACAATGAGTAACGGCCGTCATTTCGGGGGCACACTGTACGTGTGTTTCGCGAGAAAGGGAGAGGACGATACGGAATATCGATGCAGTGCCTCCCACACACACGTATCATGGAGCGCGAGAAGCGGGTCAGTGGAGGATCGTACGCCTACAACATCGCCAGCTACAGCAGCAACAACGGCAGCAGCAGCCGCAGCAGCAACAGCCGCAGCAGCAACAACAGCAGCCGCATCAGCAACAACGGCAGCAGCGACAGCAGCAGCAGCCGCAGCAGCCGCTGCGCAAGCGCAAGGTCGGCGCGGAAAACGGCAACAGCCAGGGGCGAAGTGGAGGCGTCGGCACTCCAGATACTGGCGTCGCCGTTAGTGTCGTGGTCCCCGTCGCCTGCCTGGCGCGACGTGTCGGAGAGGGAGATGTCCTCCGACCAGGAGGTCGGCGGCGGCCCCACCGGCGAGATGGAGACGGTGGAGTTTTCGTCGACGGAAAAGGAGAGCGACGGAGGTGGTGAGACGGTGACCCCCGTGGTCTCCTCAGGTGAGGAGGGCACCCGGTGGGCCAACCAGGCCCGGAGGGGTTACCGTCAGATGAGGCGGGCGGTAGACGACGAGGGATATATCCCGTTCGGGTCGGCGGCTTCGTCGGAGAGGCCGGAAAACGAAGAGGATATAGAGGCCCGCCGACGAGCCACGATCGGCAGGATGGTGGAGCGGCAGATGGAGTGGGTTGCTGCCGTGAGGGAGTGGAGGAGGAAGCTGCAGTAAGCGGAGGAGGAGGCCGCGCTGTGGACACCGGCACCTCCTCGCAGGCGCCGTTGCCACCCACGACACCGCCGAGGACGCCGCCACCACCACCGCCGCCGAGGACGCCGACGCCAAGGACGCCCACGCCGCCGAGGAGGCCGACGCCACCGTCGCAGCCACCGCTGCCGCTCGCGTCGCCGCCGCCAAGTCCGCGGCTGCAGAGGCAGGCGTCGTCCCCGGTGGCAGCACCGCCCAAACGACCCACGTTGTTGCGGGGATTCTCCCAGGAGGCAACCTGGGAGGTCACCGAGGACGCGTGGCCGGACACGGTGCGCGTGGAGGCGGAGCGGCAGCGCCGTCGAGGGAAGACCCAGCGGTGAGCCATGTTAATGGGGGTCGAGGGGGTCCGCTACCGGGTGAAGGTAGCAGGCGGGGCCGTGCGGGTGTATAGGGCCAACCAATAAAGAAAAAAAAAGGACACAAAGGGGGGGCCGGGATGCAAGCAGGAGTCACTGAAGGTATTTGGGATAGGTCAGGACGACACCACGAACACACACGAATTTATTTCGGTGGAGTTAAAAAACCGCACGCACAAAATCACAAAAGGTAAATTAAATCAAATAAAAAAATGATGAATGAGATAAATCCAGCGGCGGCTGCATCAGGTCCAGCGAGGGCAGGTGGAGGCGGGCGATCTGCGGTGAGCGAGCGGGCAATCCGCAGGTGAGCAGGCGGGCTGAAAACAAAAGGGAGGAAAAAGTAAAGGTTAGGCACGTACGGCGAAAGGTAAACAACAAAACTCACCTGAGGCAATGCCCTCACGGCCAGCCTGTGGCATGCCACAGAGCGGGGAGCCGCGGGGTAGCGGAGAAGGGGTGGACGTCCAGCAGAGGGCGGTCCAGCAGTCCGCACGGGGTGGGTTCGACGTGCGTCATGAGTACCCTGGAGCCAGCCGGAGTCTCTGGAGGACAGACGGTGAGTTGGTAAAGCGACTTTAGCAAGAGAAATTAAAACTCAAAACTTACCTGGGAGTCCACGGCAAAATCCAGACGGCCAGCCAGAGCGGGGAGCCGCGGCGAAGGGGAAGGGAAAGGGGTGGGACGACGGCCGGGCATGTGGGCCTGCCGGGACGCGCTAGCCAGGGTCAGCGCCCCGGTGCATACATCGAGAGAAGGCGTTCGCGGCTCAACCCGGCTTGGAGTGGCTAGAAAAGGAACGTTTAAGTGGTAGAAATTACGAAATTAACATCAAAACACTTTCCAAAACAAAACCACGAGGCCGGCGGAAAATTGGGAATGGGGTCGCCACGATAACGGCGGTCGATCGATAGTGCGATCGATGCGAGCAAAAAATACTGGAAACATCGCTGGCCGGTCACACTGGTTATGACTGCAGCCATGAGGAGTGGCAACGCCACGATCGATCGAGATGAGTTATCGATTGTGCGCAGGGAAAATACTACGCGGGAAACGGTTCGAATTCAAACGAGGATCGGAAGGAGTCGCGTGCTGGGAGTTTTCGACAGTCAAGATGCCTTAGTCGAGAAGCCCAACGACGGGAAGTCTACATAAGCTGAGACTTAGGTGCTGAGATTGGATGAGCTCTCAGTCGTGGCGGGAGGAGGTCGACGAGGAGTGGCAGCGGCCACAAGGATCGAGGAAGGACGTGTGCGCAAGGAGCCATGGGGGGTCAAGATGCCACAGTCGAGATGCTGAACGACCAGGTAGGATCCAATAGGCTGAGGCTCTCCGGCTGAGATCCAAGAGGCCCTTGGCCGCACTCAGAAGTTGGAGGTTGACGTGGGAAGGAGGCGATTCGAGGACGTTTTCCCCAGGAGATTCCGGAGCCCGAAGCTTTCAAAAGTTTCCGAAGGAAGGGGGAGATGTAAGGAGTTGTAAAACTCCTTACAATTTTGAGTGCAGGGGAGCTGCATGGGAACAGCGGGATGCGCTGTGTGCGGTGGTAAAAAAGGAAATAACGGCTTAAAGGACTTTGGACTCAGTGCTGCGGTGAGTCTGCAGACTTTGGACCCAATAACGGTGAGTCTGCGGACTTCGGACCCGCGCAAAGAGGAGAGACCGTGAACTAACGGTACCGTTCTGGACTTTGGACCCGTTATAACGGTGAAGTCCTGAACTTTGTACCCGTATAACGGTGAAGTCGGCGGACTTTGGACCAGCACAAAAAGGAATGACCGTGAACCAACGGGACTGGTCCTGCACTTTGGACCCGATCACGCCACTTGTCCTGCACTTTGGACCCGATCACGCCACCGAGGAAGGGAAATTGGGGGACAAGGACACGCGCAGACTTCTGGACAGTCAAGTGAAAGTCGTGCAAGTGACCGTATCAACGCGAGTAAAGCCCAAGTGAACAACAAGTGCCAGGATATCCGGAATCAAGATCGCCGAGTCGAGAAGCCCAACGAAGCTTACGTCTACATAAGCTGAGACTGCCAAGCTGAGATCCCGAGGGTACAAGGTAAGTTGTAGGGTGCGTCTACGAGTCTCGAAAACGACGTTATTGGTGGAGTCCGAGTAAGTGGATTTTGTGCGAAAGGTACCCAGCGTCGGTTCGCATGAGAGATTGAGAACATGCTGAGGGCCAGCTGACGAAGATCCAGTGGATGTTGTGCGAGAGGTACCCAGCGTCGGTTCGCATGAGAGATTGGGAACCTGCTGAGGGCCAGCCGACCAGAGTCCGAGGGAGTTGTGCGAAAGGTGTCCGGAGTCGGTCCACACGAGAGTGAGGACCTGCCGAGCCGACGAAATCCCGACCGACTTCAGGGTGGAGCGTGGAGTGTTGACTGCAGCAACGCTGTTTAGCGCTGTTTGTGAGAGACTCGTAGCGAGCCTAGTACGCGACCGGTGCCCGAAAGACTCGGCAAGGCGGAGGACGCACGACAGGCGTGCCGCCGTAGAAGTCGACGTGGGAACCACTACCGGCGTCAGCGAGGGCGTTAGATTCATCAGCAATCGGAGCCAGAACCACGAATACTTTATTGTAAATCCACAAGCAATAAACCCAACCCACATATTATAAATCTAACCTAACTCTGCGTTCTTCTTTGGTCTCGGGGTCACGCAACAATAAATTTGGTGGGACGAACACACAAACTCAACTGAGCTAGCCGCACGTTTACGTAGCGAGCGGAGACATAAAAAGCAGTTCGTTACAAGTTACTGGCGGTTCTCGGGTTGATTGGGTCCCGTCGGACTCCGCCGGTGGAGGGGACTCATCCCGTTTCCCGGTTGTGGGCGCCGACAGCACTCGACGGTTCGGACGTCTCTTCGTCCACAGTCCCAACAGAAATACTGTCGTGGGTTCCGGCAGTCGCGGCTCAAATGCCCCGGTGCTCCACAATTCCGGCAAGCATCCCGCACGTCGATTCGGTGGTCTGAGGCTGTTACCCGGTTAACCCGAGCTGGTGGGGCAACTCTGGGTTCGGGCGATGTACGCGGTGTGTTTCCGAGGGGAATCCTCTCGGCGAACGCAGGTTTCGTCCGACCCTGTGCAGGTGGGCGGTAAGCTGTCGTATTTCCAGGGGCGTGGTTATAGTTGTTTCTTTAGAAACTCCGCTTCAGGACAGCCTCGAGTTCGGTGGCCAACAAAGTTAGTTCCCCAATGGTTCGGAACTCGCTACGTCGGATATACATCTGGTATTCCGGCGCGATATTTTCGTACAACCTATTCAGCTCTTGGATCTCGTAGTACCCCGCATGGCGCATGAGAACTCGAAGGTCTAACATAAAATCTTTGAACGTTTCCCCTTCCCGTTGCTCACGACTCCGAATCTGGTCGTCCAAGCGTTGGAGGTATCGGGGGGGAAGGAAAAACTCGAGGAATTCGCGTCGAAATGTGGTCCAGTCAGCCCCTTGGAGGCGGCTGGTCTGAAACCACTTTTCCACTCTGCTCGTCAGCAGCTCTGCCATGGCTCGCGGAAGGAGTCTTATGTCGATCCCGTAGGATAAGGCCCGGCTTTCGACTTGTTCGATAAAGGCTAAGGGGTCTGCATACCCGTCGAATTGAAGACCCCATTTGCGAATTCGTTCGGGGACGCAGACAAACTCGTGGCGGTTCCGATCATGGCTTGGATCTATCCCAGGTTCCCGGTTAATGATCACCGGTGGGACGGGGTTTGGCTCTAAAAATGTGTCTCGGTTCGTGATCCCCGGGGGCACGAGAGGAAAATTGCTTGCCTAGGTCAGCGAGCCCACACCTCTTGGGTTTGTTCTAAGTCCTAACTAGGGTGACAAAGTTGCGCCGCAAGTCGTCGACCACGCCTTCGGTGGAGAATCCGAATTCGTCAGCAAAGACTAGTAATTCGGCCTTTAAACGTGAGTAAATCCACCGCGAGGGGCCCTCAGGATTTTTAAATAAGCGTGGAACGGGCTCACCGGAAATTTTCTGGTCGGGTCCCATGTTTGCAGTGTTTCCTTAATACCTGTGTTCAGAGGAATGCAACTTTGAAAAAGCGAAAACGAAGCAGTGTGTTAAAGATTTTGGGCTGTATTGAGGGACCTGAAAACAACAAATCATTTAGAGAGTACCCTGAGGTCGTTTTAGCTGAGCCATCGAATACGACTCGTAACTTTGTGGTTGTACTATCTGGCTTCTGCACGCAATGATGAGGCAAGTAATATTGCGAGGCTACTGATTGCTCAGAAGCAAGCGACATATGCTGTAGATCGATGTATTCCTTGATGAATGCAGCGTATTGCGACTTCAATTCCACATCCTTGAGCAATTTGCCCTCCAGCGTCTTAAATCGACGTAAGGCACGACCGTATGAATCTCCGAGCATGTCGAAAGTGGCTTTGGCAGGCAAACGAACCGAGTATTGCCCTGAACTGAGTCGAGAAAAGGTATTCTGGAACAGCTGCTCGCACAATACATCTTCATCAGTTGCGACAATTGGAGATCCACAGTAGCTGTCGATTTCCCAAAACCGTTTGACAATATCTGGCAAGGACTCGGTTTCCGATTGGATGACGGGCTCAGTGGTCACCGCAAGTGCTGAACGCTTCATGTTTGAGAACGAAATCCCTCCAGATGCGATCCAGCCAAGACGCGTTTTTTGCAAAATGGGCAGATTTTCGGCTAATCGCATTTTCCCAACGCAAAGCAATTCGTAAAAGATTCCAGCCCCTATTAACAAATCGATACGCTGACTATTGTAGAACCACGGATCAGCAAGAACAAGATTTGATGGTATGTTCCACCCTAGGGCGTTTAAATCGAAATGAGGCTGATAATATTGATATTTTTATCCCTGGAGTGTGCTTCGAGATCGACGGTTGCGTTTGATGAAAATGATGATTCACCAACTCCAGATATAGATGTGTTAGCTTGACGAGTAGTGAGTTGCAACTGCTTAACG